TGTATAAATGCATGTATATATGTGTATATTTTTATTTGATATATATAGAAATATATATACATAGAAGTATTTATGTTTATATTTTTATTTGTATGTGGATATGAATATATATATATATATATATATATATATATGTGTGATTTTTTTTTTATTTTGTATGTATGTATGTATGTATGTATATGTATATGTATATATAAATATATTTGTTTGTATGTATATGTATATATATATTTGTATAGATGTTTGTATATATATGTGTATGTTTTTTATTTTGTATATATATTTATATTTTTATTTGTATATAGATATGAATATATATTTATATTTTTTTTTTGCTGTTTATTTATTTTATTTTAAATTTTAAAAAAAAAATCGATTTTTTTTCATATTTTTTCGGAATTTTTTTTTAAAATATGACATGGCATGCTGATGTGGCAAAAAATCTATGTGGCGTGCCACGTCAGCCGCCACGTGGCGTGCCACGTCAACGGTTAACGGACACTTAACACCGTTTTTGGATTGTGTAGGAAATTGCAGTTAAATTGGGTAGTTCGTGTATCAATTTGGCATATTTGATAATTTGGTGTAGTTTTTTGTCAAATTAAAAATTCGTGTAAAAAAAGGTCATATTTTGCAAAGTTGGTATAGGAAAATGTCATTTTCCCTATTATTTATACTTTCTAATTGTAATCACAAAGAGAGATTTTATTCGACTTAAACACAACTCCAACAAATTAAGAGGATTCTAATATTGAAGAAACATAAGATATTATTTCCACAAATTCAGGTAAGTTATTTTTTAATATTATCTTGATTTTTTAATAATTTTTTTATTTTATTGTCATACATCGTTAGTTAAATTAAATTAAAGATAATTATGAAATTTATCATTTTATTTATTTTTGTTCTAACACAAGCTTTTGATACATATAAAATAGATCAAAAGCAAGAAATACAAAGAAAGTCTTGCAAAACAAAGAAATATTGTCAATTTATAATGCCTTGATGGAGAGAAGTGTTGATGGTAAATTAAAAAAAATATACTATCAGGAATATCTCTGACTCATTTTCTGTAACTGTTAGGACAGTATAAAGAATTTTACGACGAGCAAAAGACATTCTCAGTGGCAAAGACGTTGATGTATCTGATAGAAGAATACAAAGTTGTGGTCGCAAAAGGATCGAGATTGCTCCTCGTCGAGTAACTAATGTTCCATTACATCATCGAACAACTTTAAGATCACTTGCGGCAGCTTTGGATATGAATCATGCAACTTTGTTCAGACATATGAAAGAAGGTATAATCAGACGTCATTCTAATGCCATTAAACCGCATTTGAAGGAAGAAAATATGAGAACTAGGCTGCAGTTTTGTATATCATGCTAGACAAAAGTACTTTGCCCTATGAACCCAAGTTTGTGGATATGTACAATACAATACATATTGATGAGAAATGATTTTACATGACAAAAAATACCGAGACTTACTATTTACTTCATGAAGAAGAGGAGCCATTACGCACTTGTCAAAGTAAAAAATACATCGGAAAAGTTAGTTTTTGGTTGCGATTGTTCGTCCAAGATTTGATGGAGAAGGAAACGAGACCTTCTCTGGAAAAATCGGAGGCTTTCCATTTGTTACCATGCAAGCAACACAAAGATGAAGTCGAAATCGAGAGACAGGGACCATAGAAGTAAAACCGATGATCTCAATCAAGAGAGAGCATATAAAAGAGTATTTGATTGAAAGAGTTATTCCGAAAATTCGCGAAAAGTGGCCACGAGAAGATTTTGGAAAGACTATTTTCATTCAACAAGATAATGCAAGAACACATGTTGATCGGAATGACGAAGAATTTCAAGTAGCAGCTTCAACGCATGGTTTTGACATTCAGTTGATGTGTCAACCACCAAATTCACCGGATCTAAATATTTAGATATTGGATTTTTCAGTGCCATTCAAACACTACAACACAAGGTATATGTCCAAAAACGTTATTTACGCGGTAGATAAATCTTTTGATGAGTATCCAACGACCCAAATGAATAGGATTTTTTTTTTACTTTACAATCATGCATGCAAGAGATCATGAAAGTTAGAGGTTCTAACAAGCACAAGATCCCACATTTGAAGAAATACACATTGGAAAGAGAATGTGGTCTTCTAGTGATCCTATGTTAATGTAAAATGTAATGAATTTATTAGCCACATAGCATTTGCTTTGTATTTCTTTGTAACTCATGCCAAACGGTTATCGATCTAAAAGTATTTCAGAACATAATTTTCAACATACCCACAATTACTTGTTGAAACTCCTTATTAGGGTAGAGCTCTCCATCATCATAAGATAACTTATTCAAATCGAATCAGTATTTCATGTCAGAACTACCATTATTAGTTGATGAAAGATGTCTCACAAATGTATCTTCTTCTTCCTTCACTTCCATCTTCATTTCCATGTTGATGAACTATTATTTTTTTTGAAAATTTTTGTTCTGTATAATATGTTATTTAGAAGAAGGATTTAAGATTAAAAAAGGTAAACAGTTGGAAATTGATCAATAATTATTAGGGTAGAAAAATAGAAAACGGTGTAAATAATTGTTATGTACAGTTGGTCATATTAATAAAGGGTAATAATGAAAAAAGTATAAAAAATACATAGAAAACAACAAAACGTCAATTATTTTAAACCAAAAAACGTAATCTAAAACGACATTTAAACTTGAACAGATGGAGTATTTAACTACTAGATTGATATAAAGATATATATATTATTCATATTTGTCATTGTAGAAAAATTAAAAAATGATGAAATCTAAATAGCGGTCTTGATCAGAAGTGAAAGAATAACAAAGGGTTTATCAGAACAATTATCTATTTTATTTATTTTTTATGTTTTATTATATAGATACAATTAATTGATATAATACGATAAACTTTTACAAATATGAAAAGACAAATAGAAGGAATAAGTGGAGAAAAATGATTCTTATTAGTGGACTTAGTGATAGATTAACTCTTGTTTATTAACAATATCATATGGTTGGATTATATAGGTGCGGAGGGATCGACACTGCTCAGGATTCCACTAAACGCAAGAAAAGATGACATTACGGTAGACGACTACTGGAACCTGCCAGGAGAATGTTCGGAGTGTATCCAGGAGGTTCAGATCAGGCTCCTACAGATTCGAGAGCCATCGGATGATGCGGGTGAAGAAAATTCGAGTGGAAGACAGCGACCGATAGTTTTTCTGGAAACTTCTCCATGAAAGCGACTTGGAGGCAGGTGAGACAAACTTCTAATCAGGTTGGTTGGTCAAATAGGGTGTGGTTTGCACAAGCCACCCCAAGGACAACCTTTATCCAGTGGATGGTAATGCAGGGGAGGTTGCCAACGAGGGACCGACTACTCCGATGGAACCTAATCCAAGAGGCAATATGCAAGCTATGCAACGAGGAGGAAGAGTCGCACGACCACCTATTCTTCAACTACTGCTACAGCTCCATTGTGTGGCAAGGGCTGGCAAAGAAGGTATGGAGGAATCCTCCTAATAGTTTCCTTGGTTGTCAGACTTGGTTGGAGAGTATACTGGAGGAGGATGAAGACCGGAGGCGGATCCTTGGGAAAATTTTGATCCAGCTAGGAATTTATGAGATATGGAAAGAGGAGAATTCTCGAACTTTTTCATATGTTCGTGTATTTACCGTTTAGGGATTTACTTAGTGACACCTTGTTCAGCTTAGTAGCTTGTAATGTGGATCTGAGATCTTGGTCGATGTACCGCCAATTTTGATTAATACCACCAACTTTCATAAAAAAAAAATATATCATAAGGTTGTTCGGTTTGGTTTTTTTCTTTTCCGTACGGATTGAACTATTTGGTATAAATTAAAAGAATGATGAAATCCAACGAGAAGCCATGATTGTTTTCAGTATGAGCTTGTGGTTGGTATCAGGCCGAAAAGAAGGAAATTCCAGTTTAATATGTCTAGACTGAAATATTAGAGCGGTGCATATTATTTACGAAATAGAATTCTGGTGGGTAAATCGGTCGGGTTGTTTACCTCGATTGAATGGAAAAGCGATATGTGTCGATGAAAAATAATCAACGAAGAGGGTATGAGGTGTTTCTAGTGCTCAAAATTAATCAGTTAAGGATGCCTTCAGTTGAGCGAATTCACCCTACAATGTCGAAAGTTTGTTTCCAATAATTCGATGTGTTTTTTGTTGGTCACCATTGTGATACCACGTGTTGTCGTTGGGATCGTGAATGGCAGGACGTAGAGGGTCAACAATCAAGATTCTAAATTGTCAATGCATTCTTTGGTTGTCATCGTGATACTATTGAATGGTCTGGATCAACGATAATGGGAAAAAAGGAAAAAGATACGCTCTGATATCAATGATCTTGTTTCTAATCCGAAGCGAAAGAATAACACAAGGTTTCATCAGAAAAATTATCTATTTTATTTATCTTTGGGATTGTATTATATGTATATAATTAACTGATACAATACAACAATTTCTACAACTATGGGAAGACAAATAGAGGAAATAGATGGAGGAAAGTGGTTCCTATTGTGATAGAATAAGTCTTCCTTATTAACAACATCATATGGTTGTTTGGTTTTGTTTTGTTTTGTTTTTCTGTACAGAATGAACCATTCTATTGTAAATTAACCCGGTTCATTTTGCATCTATACTCCACCTGTCGAGATTAACCTTGTCCACAAGGTTCAGATGTGGAAAACTGATGTGTATATGTTCCTCGTTCTCCCATATAGTTTCTTCAAGTGGTAGCTCAGTCCATTTGACAAGGAGCTCCGAAAAGAAGGATGTACCATGTTAAATTCGACAAGAAATTATCATGATTGTTTTCGGTGTCAGTTTTTTGCTGGTATCAGGCTGGAGAGGAGAAAATTCTATTTTAATATGTCTAGACTGAAATAATGGAGTGGTGCAGATTGTTTGCCAAATAGAATTCTGGTGGGTAGATCGGTCGGGTTGTTTCCCTCGATCGAATGGAGAAGTGATATGTGTCGATGAAAGAGAATCAACGAGGCACGTGTGAGATGTTTGTAGTACACCGAATTGCTCAGTCATGGACGTCTGCAGTTGAGCGAATTCACCCTGCAATGTCGAAAGTTCTGTTTCTAGAAATTCGATGTGTTTCTTGTACATCGCCATTGTGATACCACGTGTTGTGGTCCAGATCGTGAATGACAGGAAGTGGAGGGTCGACCATCAAGATTCTAAATTGTCAATGTGTTCTTTGGTTGTCATCATGATACCACCGAGTGGTGTTGATCAATGATAATGGAAAAAAGAAGAAGGAAAAAGATAGCTTCTAATATCAATGATATTGCTCCTAATGAAAAGCGAAAGAATAACACAAGGTTTCATCAAAAAAATTATTTGTTTTATTCATTTTTGGGGTTTTATTTTATAAATACTCTTAGTTGATACAATACGATAATTTTTTATAAATATAGGAAGATAAATAGAGGAAATAGGTGGAGGAAAGTGGTTCTTATTAGTGGACTTAGTGATAGACTAAGTCTTCCTTATTAACAACATCTGATGATTGTTTGGTTTGTTTTTTTCTGTACAGATTGAACCATTTGGTATAAATTAGATTCGGTTCATTTTGCATCAATTCTCCACCCATCGAGAGAAACCTTATCCACAAGGTTTAGATGTTGAAAACTGATGTGTATCTGTTCCTCGTTCTTCCATCACCTAGCTTCTTCAAGTGGTAGCTCAGTCCATTCAAGGATCTCCGACAAGAAAGATGTACCGTGTTAGATCCGACGAGAAATCATGATTGTTTCTAGTGTGAGCTTGTGGTTGGTATCAGGCCGAATAGGATGAAATTTCATTTCAATGTGTCTAGATTGAAATATTAGAGTGGTGCAGATTGTTTGCGAAATAGAATTCTAGTAGGTAAACCTATCATGTTATTTCTCTCGACCGAATGGAGAAGCGATATGTGTCGATGAAAAAGAATCACTGAGGCGGATGTGAGATGTTTCTAGTACACCGAATTACTCAGTCATGGACGTCTACAGTTGGGCGAATCACCCTACAATGTCGAAAGTTCTGTTTCTAGAAATTCAATGTGTTTTTTGTTGGTCGTCATTATGATACCACGTGTTGTGATCCATATCATGAATGACAGGAAGTAGAAGATCGACAATCAAGATTCCAAATTGTAAATGTGTTCTTTGGTTGTCATTGTGATACTATTGTGTAGTTCGAATTAACAATAACTGAAAAAAAATAGAGTATGATATCAATGATAATATTCATTATCTGAAACGACAATCTTTCGGCAGAAAAATTGCTCTATTTATTTTTTGGGTTTTTTTATATCGATACAAGTACCTAATATAATACAATAATTTTCTATAAATATAGGAAGAGAAGTGGAGGAATTGGGTTGAAGAAACTGGTTCCTATTAATAGATTTTGTGATAGACTGTCTTCCTTATAAAAAAAAAATGGTTGTTTGGTTTTATTTTTTTTTCTGTCCAGATTAAATCAATTGGTATAAATCAGACCAGACTCACTTCGTATACAATCTATTAAAAGAAAAAAAAAATAAATGTGATAAAAAAAAAGGATGGTGCAGAAATCGCGTCCTTATTATATCCATGCCCCTTTGGTAATCTGACAAATTGAAAGCAAAATTTGGTGATTTTGCGACACGCGCTAAACCCGCACGTGGGTATCGCTCTATGATATTGGGCCCCACAGTTTCTTTTCTTTTGGGCCTTAGGGATATGGATCACTTTTTTCTAAGAAACACGGTCCATTACTAATGAAATTTAAATTTGGGGTAATTTAAAAGAAATTTTGATATAATTAATTTACTATAACTTCTACATTTGGCGCGCGTGTCTGTATATATCCAAAAGAAAAACTAAAGAATAGAAATCGCAAAATTGTAGTTTCAGATATTTACAAAAAAAAACATAATTCATTTTGGAGAAAACCTTAAAATAATTTTGTAAAAAATTTTGAAACTACCATCATATTTTCAAATTATCAAATCTACCTCTTTAAATTTAAAAAATCACAAAAATACGTAAATCAACAAGAAAACCCTAAAGGAAAAGTCAATAATAATAAATTCATTTTTTTAATTGAGAAAGTATAACCATGGGGAGAGGTAAGAAGGGCATGGAAAGGCATCCCTTGCTTCTAATGTTAATGCATTTTACCTTACATCCTAAGCTTGGAACTTCCTCTCTTCTTCTTCTTATATACATAACCATTTATTTCCCCAAAATCCAACCCACAAAATATTTATCACTATACGCCAAATTACATTTCAAATTTTTTTTCCCCATTAATTGATCTCGAAAAACTTCGTTCATCATGCCGGTTTATGCATCGTCTTCCGATTCCGAAAACGAGAGGGCGGCGATCCACCCGACGACAAGACTCTTCGGCCGTCAAAGGTCTATCCATTCCATCCTCGGCGGAGGAAAAGGTCTTTATATATCTATTTTTTCTTGTCGTAAATAAGATATATATATATATATATATTGATTGTGAATGATATATATATATATATATATATATATATATGCAGTTGCGGATATATTGTTGTGGAGAGAGTCGAAGATATCGGGGGCTCTATTAGTAGGGGTCGGCCTCATCTGGTTCCTGTTCGAAGTGGTCGAGTACAATTTCATTGCCCTAATTTGTCACCTTTCCATCACGGCAATGCTCCTTCTCTTCATTTGGTGCACCGGCTCTGATTTTTTCAACTGGTACGCACTCTCCACTCATTTCCATATCATATATATACATCAACATTTTCATACTATAAGGTAACAACATATATGTTTATATTTATTTTTACTACGCAGCAAGCTTATATGGCAAAAATATGATGACGTGTTAGCCATGTCAGCATATTGATTGATGAAAATCGAAGAATATTCATGTTGGTTGATGTTCTTGTAGGACATTTCAACAAATTTCGGGATTTGGTGACGGATTTTGCTATATTTTGAATTTCAATGTAGTTTTATATCAACTACACAAATTCGTGTTGGAATATGTTATTTTCCTTAGAAAGTATTATAAGGTAGTTATAAATATAAATAATCTTTTTTCGGAAATTGTTATTGCAAGGAATCGACCGACGATACCTGAAGTGCTGTTACATGAGTCGTCCTTCAGACAATTGGCGTCGACGTTTCATGTCAGATTCAACAAGATCTTGTCGAAGCTTCTAGATATTGCATATGGAAGAGACCCTCCACTCTTCTTTTTGGTAGGAAATCATCAAACATTTCCGTACAAAATAAAAAAATTTATTTATTTTTATTAGAAAAATCTTAAATTTAATTTTTAAATAATTAAATATAATTTGTTGTAAATGTTATTAAATATTAATGCAAATAAGTGTGATGAAATACTATTATAAGAAACAATAAATAATTATAATATATCTTTAAAAGATATTAATACAATAGAAAATAAATATTTAATATCTTAAAGATTTATTATATTTTTAATACCATGTTTACTAATATCATTTTTCTTCTTCTAAATTTATAGACAACGATCTCGCTTTACATTATATCGGTCGTCGGGACATACTTCAGCTTCTTGAATCTCTTTTTCTTGGGTAAGAATTTATCTACACTCATGCATATATATATACACACGTATATGCGTGTATTATTCTCACCTCTTCGGTCCAATAATAACTATTTTCAATAGCATATATGTAATTAAGGCATTCAAAAACAATGAAATGCAATCGGATTTATATGCAAAAAAAAATTTACATAAAGAAATAGTGGAATGGGTTTTTTAGTTTGATAATAGCTATAACTATATTGTATTTCACATTTCAGAAATTTATAAACGCTATTTTAATACCAATGAAAAACTTTAAGTGTCCCAACTCCATTCTTGTAAATCTATATATAACAATAAGAACATTTAGAAAAAATCATTCGTATCGACTTTATATAATGTATATATAATATACTAATATTTACTTATTTTTTATTTTTTAAAATATATAATTTTATAATAATTTCTAATTTTAATAAAAAAAAGATATATGATATTATCCCAAATTTATAACAATAAATATTATAATTAAAATAATCATAAAAAAATCGTGCATCGCCCAGATCTTTACCTAGTATAACAAAAAATGATGCACTTAATAAATACCAACTTTTGGCGTAAAAAAAATTATTACTTTATCCCCCATACATATGTTTAATTGTTTAAACGTTCCATTATTTCGTTTGTTTTTCATTATTATATTTTAACAAATAACAAATAATTTCGGACGCCGTGTCGTTTAGGCTTCCTGAGCATGCAAACCCTGCCGGTTCTGTATGAATTATACGAAGACGACGTGGAGAGGCTCGCGGGTAAGTTGGCAAGAAAGCTCAAGAGGATTTACAGAAAGCTAGACTCCAATGTTCTCAGTAAGATTCCAAGAGGGCCCATCAAGCAAAAGAAACGTATATGACTCATAATTATGCATGTATATATATACATATATATTTATACATCTTTGTGTATGCTTTATGTATATATATAATGTTAGTAATGTTGGTGTAATGTACATAATCAAATTCCATGAAAATTCAGAATTGTTGTGTAATACTTGAGTAATGTAAAAAAGTGAGATGTTTGGTATTGCACGGTGATATTTAATTCAGAATTCTATATCAGTATGTTATTAATATTTCTTACAATTTTTTTCTAGATATATGTTATTAGTGAACAACTTTTTTTTTATAATCAAGATGATTTTCCGAGCCTTATCCCAACTATATCCACCCTAGGTCCGGGACCAACCTTTGTATATGGACCATTTTGATCCAGAAATTACATTTCTCTCCACCAATGAAATCGAACCCATGACCTTAAGGATGACTTTATCATCTATCAATCACTAGACCATCAACTGTTGGGTCAGTGAACAACTTGTTTGAAGAGATATTTCATTTTGTATTTTGTTTTGGTGCTGTAATTTGTTTGAAGAACAATGAATGCTATATGTTTTTTCCCCGATTTATACAAATCAAGATCTGATCCATGCGGTGTATTGAAACAATACGAATCGACAAAGAAACAATTTATTTATTTTAAAAAAAAAATGATTTATGGGAATCTTAGTCCGTTTGAGATAGTGGTGGTTATTTATTAGGGTGGTGTAATAATAGTCGAATTTCGGATATCGTATGGATCGAGGCTAGATGTCCGAATTTGGTATACCCAATAGAGATCGAGTTTAATATTTTTAAAACCCAAAATTCGGATTGGAATTCATATTTATATTTTCGGGTCGAATAATTTTGTGTGGATATTTGATAATAATAAAAAATAATTATTATGTTTTTTAGTTATTAAAAAATTATAAATATATCTATCAATAACTAATTGTTTTTTATCTTTCTTTATAAAAAAAAATATATGATTTTCTGATCTAATTATTTTAGATATAAATATATATTTTTAATAGTTTTATAAATTATTTATATGTAATATATGAATTTTTTAGTTTCAATCAAAATATATTTAAACCCCAAATAAACTTGGGACTAAGATAATGTTGATAAATAGATGTTGAATCAAAATACGTTTAAACTATGTCAGATTGAGCATTCGTAAATATTCAAAAAATATTTCGCATGTAACATAATTCAGATATCCGAAAAATTAGATTCAAATTCTGAGTTCTGAAATATATAATTTATTAGTTTTTAAATATCCTAAAAATCTTAAATACCCGATCTATTACAGTGGTTATAATTTGATTCCACATTTTGTTGCAAAAATTAGATTATTATAATGGGTCTAATCCTAGTACTATTTGTGAGAAATTTATGATTTAAAAATGCACAAAAATGAGTTATAACCTCCCCCGAGTTAACACATCAAAATTAAAAAGCAGATCAATTTATTAATGGAATTTCAGTGTAGAAAGTGGATACCACAGTATGTGGCTACAAGGTGTTTCACACCCCACATGCCTAAAATTGTCTGCGACAATATAATAATGTAAGTAAACCCTAATTTTTTTTTTCTATTTTTATTAAAAAAATTTGGATGGAAAATTCAGAGATTCTTACAATAAAAAAATAGTGATATATACTGTAGAATCCATGGGGGGAAAAAACTAAGACTATTTATTTTAGAAACGAATCATCTCAATCTAACGTATAACCTTTTATCTATAATCAATTTCTACTTGGTGAAAATAGATTTTTGAATGATCTGATTGGCATCTTATAAAATCAAGAATATGGTAAAATATTAATATTTTATTAACTACTAAATCCTAAACTCTAGCTAAACATCATGAATTTTTTTTGGTAAAAAAGGCGATTTGAATTATATACCAAAAATTACGACACAGCTTTTTGTTTCCATACAAAAGATTTTTGAAACCCATCAGAAAATGGTCAAAGGCAGCTAAACATCATGAATTCATGATTAATTACGTGATTACATTCAATTTGTATTCAGTACACCAACGTTGGACAATGCACGATATATATTCATTACATTCAATATATATATATATATGTATATATATATTGAAACTTAGTAAATTTCCCTCGTCTTTCCTCACTACTTTGCTTACAATATATAGTAATAATATTAGGGTTACATATACGTAAAAGGCAATATAATCAAAGATCGCATAATATCTTCGATTATTTCTTAATATCCTCTAACACACCCCCGCAGTCGGAGCGGGAGGTTGTCGGACGCTCAGGCTGGATCGGAATTCCAAAAAAAGAGATGCCGAGAGACCTTTCGTGAAGATATCGGCGTATTGTGAGGATGATGGTACATGTAGCACATGGACTTGACCTATAGCGACCTTCTCTCGGACGAAATGGATATCGATTTCGATGTGCTTCGTGCGTTGGTGTTGTACTGGGTTGGCCGTCATGTACACGGCGCTGAGATTGTCGCAGAAAACCACCGTTGAATTAGTGAGTGTGAAGCGGAGCTCAAGTAAGAGGTTGCGTATCCAGCAAGATTCTGCGACGGTATTTGCAACGGCTCGATATTCTGCTTCGGCACTTGAACGAGATGTTGTGCGTTGTCGTTTTGAGGACCATGAGATCAAATTGTTGCCCAGAAAAATGCAATAGCCGGATGTGGAGCGACGTGTGTCGGGCAGCCAGCCCAGTCTGCATTCGAATATGCCACGAGATTTGATGGAGAGGTGCCGTAGAGCTGGAGGCCATGCGATAGAGTTCTGCGAACATATATAACGCAAAATGCGTTTGAGGGCATGGAAGTGGGGTTCTCGTGGATCATGCATGAACAAGCAGATTTGTTGTACCGTGTAGGATATGTCCGGCCGAGTGAACGTGAGGTATTGTAATGCGCCAGCCAAGCTGCGGTATAAAGTCGGTTCAGCCACGGGATCCCCATCACCGGCGGTCAGTTTTGATTTCATGTCGGCGGGCGTGAGACATGGGTTGCATGCTTCCATATTGGTGCGGTGAAGAATGTCCACAGCATATTGGGTTTGGCATAAGAATAAGCCTTCCTTGTTTGATGTTGCTTGCACGCCAAGAAAATAGTGAAGTGGTCCAAGGTCGGTCATCGTGAATTCTCCATGTAATGAGACAATTATCTTTTGTAGTAGAGGTGTCGACGAAGCGGTGAGGATAATGTCATCAACATATAAGAGTAGGAAAGCCATACCATCGGTCTTGTGCATGATAAAGAGTGATGGGTCGGATTTGCTATGGGCGAAACTGATCTTGACAGCGAATGCGGCAAAACGGTGGAACCAAGCGCGGAGAGCTTGTTTCAAACCATAGAGAGATCGGCGCAACACACATACATGGTTCGGCTTTTCCGCATTCGTGAAACTGGGTGGTTGATGCATGTACACGGTTTCGGCGAGATTTCCGTGTAAGAATGCGTTTTTGACATCGAGTTGATGTATAGGCCAGCGATGAGTTAAAGCATAGCTTAACACAACTCTAATCGTTGCCGGTTTAACAACTGGACTGAAAGTTTCGCCGCAATCTAGGTCGGGTTGTTGAGATTTTCCATTCGCCACGAGCCTTGCCTTGTATCGTGCATGAGTGCCATCTGCGTTGAACTTGTGCCTGAAAAGCCACATAGAACGAACCACATTAACCCCGGGAGGCCGGGGAACCAAGTCCCACGTCCCATTTTTAATAAGAGCATTATATTCCTCAATCATAGCCGCTTTCCAATGATGGTTCTTTAGGGCAAAGAGATGTGATTTTGGTAGAGGCGATATCTGATCGGTAAGGAGAGACACAATTTGTTTAGGCTTTATAATGCCGGCTTTGCTTCTAGTGGTCATCGGATGTTGTGGGATTAAGGCAGAAGGGCTGATGAGAAGTGTCAATCGAGGGAAGGTCCGAGGGTTCATGTGTTTGGTTACGAGGAGATGGCAACGTCGATGAGTCAATGGGCAATTGTCTAATGGTCTTCAAGATGATGGTATCATCCGATGCATGATCAAGAAAGTCATAGGAAGATGGTGGGTTTAGTTGGACTTTGGTGAATGGAAATATATTCTCATCGAAGAAAACATGACGGGAGATGATGATCCGTCGATTTTTGAGATCAAAGCATCGGTAGCCACGGTGATGCGAAGGATGGCCAAGAAAGATAGAAGAAGTGGAGCGAGGAGATAATTTGTGTGGTGCGGTGGAGCTAATGTTAGGGTAACAAAGACATCCAAACACTTTGAGATGATGATACGAGGGGGATTTTCCAAAAAGCTTTGTGTATGGAATGACGTTATCGATGGCGGTTGAAGGTAAAATATTGAGAATATGAACACTCATGTGAAGTGCTTCGACCCAAAATGTAGGTGGAAGACTTGCTTGGAGGAGAAGTGTTCGAACAAGATTATTGATGGTACGGATTACTCTTTCGGCTTTGCCATTTTGTTGTGAGGTCTGAGGACAAGAAAATCGAGTGATGATGTCGTGTTCGTCGAAAAAGGATTGGAAATGGTGGTTGTCAAATTCACCCCCGTGATCACATTGAAAAGATTTAATGTTTGCATGAAATTGGTTCATGACATAAGAGTGAAAGTGTAAGAACTTAGAAAATACGTCACTCTTTCTTCGAAGAGGGTATACCCATAGAAATTGAGTGAAATGGTCAAGAAAAACCACATAGTATCGGATGCCACTTACGCTAGAAATAGGAGAAGTCCAAATGTCGGAATGTATTATTTGAAAAGGTGAAGAGACAATAGAAGATGATCTGTAAAAAGGGAGTCTAGTACTCTTGCCAAGGTGACATGCTTCACAAGAAGGTGTCAAGGTTGGCTTATTACATCGAATGAAACCGGAAGAAATTAAAGACGTGAAGACAGAGTTGCCCAGGTGACCCAAACGACGATGCCATATGGTGGGTGTTGTGGCCGTGAGTGCAATTGGCAGGGAAGGCGGAGTGTTTGTTGGAGCCATAATTGGGTACAAGGGTCCGGTGCTATCACATCGAAGAAGAGTCCGTTGTGTTGGACGATCCTTAACAGAGAAGCCAAAGGGGTCAAACTCAATAGAACAATTATTATCAGACGTGAATTGATGAACGGAGACAAGGTTTTTGATAATGGATGGTGTGACGAGAACATTACGTAAAGACAATGGTCGGTTGGATGAGGAGATGGTAG